GGCGCGGGGCGGGCGCCGCACGGCGGGAGAGGAGCCCGGCGACGTGGTGTCCAGCGTCACCAGGACCGGACGCACGGCGGGGGAGGAGCCTGGTGACGTGGCGTACGACGTCACCACGACCGGACGCCGGCGAGGGATTTGAAAAGGAGAGCGGGGGGTGGTAGGGGGTCGGAGGAGCAAGGCGGAGGAAGGAGAGGGATGGAGAGAGAGCGAAGCAGGGAAGAGCAGAGGAGGAGGAGGAGAGAGCGGAGGAGGAGGCGAGGCACAAAACACAGAAGGAGAGGCACGCAGCACGGGAAGGGGGGAAGTGGGACCACGACCGGACGCCGGCGAGGGATTTGAAAAGGAGAGCGGGGGGTGGTAGGGGGTCGGAGGAGCAAGGCGGAGGAAGGAGAGGGATGGAGAGAGAGCGAAGCAGGGAAGAGCAGAGGAGGAGGAGGAGAGAGCGGAGGAGGAGGCGAGGCACAAAACACAGAAGGAGAGGCACGCAGCACGGGAAGGGGGGAAGTGGGGTAACACAAGCGGTGAGGGGGACCACTTAAAGGGGGAAGACCAGAGACGACGGGGAGCAGGACGGGGCTCCCGCATTACAATAAGGAATGGGTGGAAGTCACCTTGTGGCAACGAAGGGTACACACTTTGTCTGTGTCTACATTGGTGCGATCTTGCGCAAGAACACTGACGTTCTAATGTATGAAATCAGTGCTTCTTGCACAAGTGCTATGATGCTCCCGCTCAGGAATAAGCTCTCTTGCGCAGCAGCCTTCGTGCACAACAGGCAACATGAATTTCTTGCGCAAGAAAGCCCTGTGGTTAAAATGGCCATCAGAGCTTTCTTGCACAAGAGAGCGTGTACACTAGCATAGATGCTCTTGCGCAAAAGCATATCTCTTGCGCAAAGGCACATGCCAGTGTAGACACTCTCTTCTAGAAGTGTTTTTGCACAAGAACTCTTCCGCAAAAGAGTTCTTGTGCAAAATCATGCCAGTGTAGACATAGCCTTTCTGTAAAGTAATGACAAGGCAAACATCATGGATTACTTTTTCTCAAGACAGTAATTTGGAGAGCTTTCCAGGGAAGGCTAGAGCTTATGGAAGAACAGACACTAAAATAATTTCAGAAAAATCTGCTCTCTGCATTCCAAAATAAATAAAAACCCTGCTAATCTTCAATCAGATGAGAAGCTCGGAAACCTGATCCTCCTGTACCTTACTTTACTTTTACTATGATGTAATTAATTTGATTGAGGCCTATTAGTCTAGATTTATTCCAGCAGAGCCTGGTCCTACTACATAGGAAGGTCAAAGTAAGATACGCAACTCCCGCTATGTAAATTACATAGTTGGAGTCAGTACATCTTGCATCACATTTCCATGCCATCCACACAACAGGAGGCCAATGGGATCAAACATTCACGTTGGCTTCCCTTACTCCTCATGAGTAGCAGGAGTACCGGCATCAATGGGGGCAACCTTTGAGTTCAATCTAGTCAGTCTATACTACAACCTGCTAAATTGAACCCCAGAAAATCAACCAGAGTAGTGTCAATCTTCCATGTAGTCCAGGCACGCCCCAGGAGAACAGATTCTGGCACAATCAGTTATCTTCTTTGCAAGGATTTATAGTGTCACACAGGATAACATAATTCTCCAAGCCAAGAGGGAAACATAACAAGTTCATTCAAATTGATATATACTGAGATTTTCCCTCCTTCAAACAAGTGAGCATCAAGCAAGAATGGAAGCAAGAGGATTGCACCATTAATTTTAATTTCTATATCATTTTTCAGCAGATGGTTGCAATAAGTAATACAGTGATATGATACAATTCAGATACAATATGGAGAAAGATAATGTTGATAATTATTACATTTTATGCTACATAAATATGCCATTTTTAAAAATTTTATAGCCAACTAATTGGTTATCTAATTATCAGTACTACTAGTATTCCTTTTAAGAACCTGAACTTGGAAATGACAGAACAAACTATAAGTCAACAGGGCTCTGCACATATGCAGAGATTCACTTGCATGGACTCGCAGTTTGGGGTTCAAGTAATCAATATGCACTTACTAAATATCTGTTGTGTGAAGTGATAAAAAATAATGTACAGGCAGTCCCCGGGTTACGTACAAGATAGGGACTGTAGGTTTGTTCTTAAGTTGAATCTGTATGTAAGTCGGAACTGGCGTCCAGATTCAGCCGCTGCTGAAACTGACCGCCAGTTCTGACTTACAGCAAAGCAGAGCCAAGCCGCGGAGCGCGTGGGCAGCGGATAACCCTGTCCGCTGCCCGCGGG